GTGAGACCCTGTCTCAAAATAAAAAGAACTTGGTGTTTAGCTCAGTGGTAAAGCACCTCTGGAGCTCAGGTCCCACTTTGCACTTTAACAAGATCTTTAGGTGATTTGTATTCAAATTAAAAATTTGAGAAACAATGTCTTAGGGAAGGGTAATTCCAGGAACAGGAATGCCTCTCAACCCCTTTAAAGCCATGAACATTTGTAGAACAAAGAAGGGAGGGTATGGCAAGAAAGCTCTCACTTCATAACCTTTCCTCTCTGACTGATTTTTAACTAAATAACTGAATGTTCAATTCTTTCTTTCTTTCTTTTATTTTTTAATAGTACTATGGATTGAACCCAGGGTCTGCCTCAAGCATGCTAGGCAAGTGCTGTACCACTGAGCTCTAGCCCCAGACGACAATATCTGTTCTTTTTTTCTTCTTCTTCTTCTTCTTCTTCTTCTTCTTCTTCTTTTTTTTTTGGCTGCTTTCCCTTAGCATAATGTTTTCAAGGTTTATCCATATTGTTCACCAGTCACAGATGGCAATATTCTCTCAATAGGTGTGTGGGTGTCAGGAGCAATGTAACCTCATCACCTACTCTTCCCAAGGGGGCTCCTGAGTGCCATCGTTCAACTAAGAGAAGTCTTTCTCCTTCTATTACTAACTACCCTATAAGGACATCTTTAGTAGAGTTCTCTTTTCCCATCTTCTCTCTGGGACTTAGCAGCTCAAGTGTAGCTGGCCGTTGGCCAAGCTTCCTTTCCAAGACACCTGCAGGCACTACTAGTGCTGCCACCTTATGCCCATTTCTTGAAGTAGTGGACACTGGATATGGCACTCTATTCCTCTCTGAGAGCCCTGCTCTTGGCTGTTTTCACAGCAATCAAGGTTGTGACTCATGACACAGTGTGACCAGGAGAGGTCGAGGGAGGACTGTGAGGGAATTCACTTCTGGTACCTGCAAAACAACCAAGAGGCAGAAAAGGGAGCAAGTGTGAATGCACATGTGGTAGAGGGGAGCAGGATCTATAAGCTCTCTTTCTGATTCTCTGGGTTGTTTCTTTAGCTCCCATTTCTTCTCCTCTCCTCAATTCACTTTCATTTCCCTGTTTTTCTTCACAGAACAGGGAACCTAAACATATTTCCGATTCACCTGGATTGTCTTCTTTTGCCACTTCCAGGAGCCCAGCAGTAGTGTATTTGGTCACCAGGTACAGTTAAGTTACTTCTATTAAAATACACACATGCCAGGCGCAGTGGTGCACCCTGTAATTCTAGAGACTGGGGAGGCTGAGGTACAAGGATCGTGAATTCAAACCCAGCCTCATCAAGATAGCAAGACCATGAATCTAAATAAAATATAAAAAGGGCTGGAGATGTGGCTCAGTGGCTAAATGCCCCTTTGTTCAATCCCTAGTACAACACACACACACACACACACACACACACACACACACACACACATATTAAATCTAAATATTATTCCATACTGAACAGCAAAATAAGAAAAAGTTTTTCTGTTATTCAAAATCAAGATGTTCTTCGTTGCTGGGAGCGGTGGCCCACCAGGAGGATCCCA